GTCTCCTCCTAGTGAAAGATGTTATAGACAACTGTAAAGGAAGGAAGTGGAGACATCATCAGGATTTGACGTTTCAAAAACTCATACTCCGGCGTGATGCCGACCAAGAGAGTAAACACCATATCTTGCTCTTCCCGGGTCACATAGTCAGTTACAGCTGCTGCTGGGGGTCGGTACTGTCGCAACTCATCCCATTTTTTCATAAATTGACTGAGATAATCAGTGAATGATTGTGAAGGTAGTTCATGAATCGTGTGAATTTCCTGTAGAAGCTCAAAGACACGGGAGACATTATTTTCATGCTCGAAGTACTGTGCAACTGATTCTGAAAGGTCCTTGGCAGTGTCCGAATATGCAAATAGTTCATAAATTTCAGGTTCCATTGAGTTAAATAGCCAAGTGGCCCAAGTCAGAACTTGGTTGTCAGATGCCTTCCAAGCAGCATATTTGGCATCTGTTTTGGACGGAGCAGGATCAGTGAGGTGGGAATCTTTGGAATGGCCACTGAGAGCGACCGTCATAACAAACTTCCATGGCATATAGTTCCGACCATTGAAGAGGATGATAGTGAGACGTCCAGTATTAGTCTTGTTCGAAGTAGCCATGGTACCAAATAAACAAACCAGATAATCCAAATTATACATCAAAAAAATAAATTAAACGTGAAACCTGTTAATGGTACAATCTCGTAGAGAGAGATGGATTGCACACAAGTTTTCAGGTGCTGCAAACAAGCACATCTATAGATCCAATATGAGAGGTTTGCTGGTCCGATAAATAGTACAAGGGAAACAATACGACGGTGGTCTGACGAACAGGGCGGCAGATCTGACGGTGCATGAGTGCTTGAAGTTGGTTAGAGGAGCACACTAGGATAGCAGCAGCGGTAGGCGACAGCACACCAGGATTGGGGAAGAAAGCAGCAGCGGCAGTGATTTGGATTTGTGAAAAAAATGACTAGGGGAGGGAAGGGTATTTTGGTAAAAAGAAAGGAAAAAATATAATCAGATTATTTGATAAGGAGAGAAAAAAAAATTTAACCCGCTCTTGATACCATGTTAAAATAAAAAACATATAAATTTATTGTGGTTCAGCCATTAGGCGTACGTCCACACTGAAAATGTTTCTCCCCCTCTCAATTATGATCAAGGAGGGGGTTTCCCTTTAATATAAATATGAGATGATACAATTATTGAGCCAGATTATTCTGCCCACAATCCAAGATATCAAGTGATTTATTACTCTTTTTATGAGTAATATTTGATACAGAATTACATTCAATCGTTGATCCTAATTTGTTTCCATTAATAGCTTCAACATTATTACTCTTTTTATGAGTAATATTTGATACAGAATTACAATAAATGATTGAACCTAGTTTGTTTCCACTAATAGCTTCAACAAGGGTCATAAACACCCTTTTATAGACTGATTACAAATTTATTCAAAATTCAAAATCTAAAATCCTAAAAATAAGGAAAATTCCTAAAATAAATATAACGAAAATTAACTTCTAAAAACAAACAAATAATTACATTTAAATCATTCAAAACACCTCACAAATCTTAGATCTCAATCATGCCAAATGTGTTGCTTTCCTTTTCTTGCTAAACAAATCACAATCATATCTGTTACTTGTTTCATTTGGACTTGGATGTGATCAAAATTTGTTCTGTTTCAAATTACCGCTTCTTTTAACAATTGAGCCATACTTATTGAGCTATAATTCTGGTTGACTCTGGACTTTTTGAATCAATGGTTAGGCCGTGTATAATGAGCCAACTGTAAATGCATCACTAGGAATCTAATGATCTCGTGAAATCTACCCTTTTAGGTGCCCATATGCCTTCCATTTATCCATTTTTTTATATATAATTTTCATGACAAGGATTATTCAGCTAATAATGTTTATTTTTCATTAATTGATATCTGGGTTTTTGATTCATTGGCTTTTTGTTTATTACAATATTTTACTTGTAATGTTGTTTTAATTCATGTGTGTCTAATTTTATAGAATTACATTATAGTTTCATAAGGTAAAATTTTGCAATTAAAATATTAAGTGTTCATCAAATAGAAAAGACAAACTAAATGAGAAGTTTTGGAGAATTTCATGATTATGAAAGAAATAAATAATATTCAAGGAAAACAATATATATATATATATATATATATATATATATATATATATATATATATATATGATCATCTTACATCGGTATAAGAATAATAAGTCTTACATTTAATCTTAGGCGTTAACTTTCGTACATGATACGGTTGTAATTTATTGGGACACACTCATTAATTAATCATTAATTTTTAATAAATTACAATCGTCTGATGTACGTAAATCAATGGCTAAGATTGTGTGTAAGATTTATTATTCTTACACCAGTGTAAGTTAATCATACCCCTATATATAAATGGTTTAAAGTTTCTCATATTTATAGAAAATAAAATTATCTCTTACACCACATATAAATGTGTGTGCCCTAGTTTTTCTTCTTTTCTCTATTCTTCTCATATGGTCCCATATGGGCTTTGCATACTTTTATGTATGTGTAAAAAATAATTTTATCTCCTATAATCAAAAACTTTAAAAATTACACCTAAGACTAGACTATGCAACTAATTTTATCTCTTATTTTATTTTGTTTATTATTCTACTTGGCATCCTGTGCCTACGATATTTGTTTGTCATCTTGTGTAAGTTTGCACTTGGCTACGACTCATTTTGGAGTCTTGGAGTTCAATATATGCTCCAATTTTTGTGGACCATTGTTTTGTCTCCTATTATCAACATCTATCCTTTGAAGTTTGTAGTTCACAATTGGTATCTTTAGATCTTGTGAATTCTACCCCTTTAGCTTCCCTCTATTCCTTTTGTTCTGGATTGATTACACAGCTCAAAGTAGGGGTATTCATCAACCGATCCAAACCGATTCAAACCGCGATAACCGAACCGAAAAATCGAAAACCGAATAAACCGAAAATCGAAAAACCGAAAACCGACAAAAAACCGCAAATTTTAACTGGATTGGATCAGTTTTTAGATGAGTTGATGAAAACCGATCGAATCCAAACCGATCCAATATATTAATTCCCTTCTACCTATTTGGATATTTTTCCAATCATAGCCCAAAAATTTCTAAACCCAAGACTCATTAACCCATCAACTAAACCCAAAAAAAAATCTAGTCACTTCTCATCAAATTTTTTTTTATCTTTGTAGAGCTTCATATCTCATTATCCAAAAAAAAAATTATATTATAATTTACTAATGCTTTCGTATTTCAAAATAAAATTAAATTTATAAAACTAACATATACAAAAGATGTTATTTCATGAAATAAATTTTAGGATTTTCAAAAAATCGAAAACCGATCCAATCCAAACCGAAAAAAGTTGGATTGGATCGAATCGGATTTGAAAAAAAATTCAAACCGAATGGATGATTATATAATCAAACCGAAAGGATTGGATCGAATGATTTTTATTTTCAAAACCGATCCAATCCAGACCGCGAACACCCCTAGCCCAAAGGGCCGACTTCTTGTTCAAGCGAACCTCCAGCTGATACATCACAAGAAAGCGATGAGAATTCTTACACAATTTCCGACCTTCTAGTCAATAAAGAGTTTACACCTAAATAGTAGGCTAAATTCCTCGGTCAACGTCATACGGATCGAAGACAACCATAAACTATAGATAGCAATTGATTTTAGGGGATATTTTTTGAATTTTCATGCATTAATTTTTATACAATGATCTGCAACTAAAATTTAAAATATGATTACTTGTTTTACCTTGATTGTATATAACATAATACATCATGTCCACATTTATATATAAACATTTGTGCAAATACGTATGCTTATTAACGAGTGAAAACTAGAAAAGATAATATTTCTAAGCATATGTATAATTTGTTTCTTTTTAATTTAATGCATTTATTAATGGCTGGAGATTCTGACATTGAATCAATCATTAGATAAGGAATTACTTAAATGACTACTTAGAAGACTGCTATGGTGCAACTCAAGTTGCGCTGCCGCTAATTATAGTCAGGTTTTATCTTTATTATGTTACTTAACATAATTTTATTTTTTTACACATATATACACTTTAATGTGAGGTCCACATATTTTTCTTTCTCTTTTATCATTTCACTTTCTTTCTTTCCTTTATTGTATGTATTGAAAACTAAACTTATATTATGTAACGTAACATTAATAAAACCCTTATAGAAATAGAGATAGACTTTTTATTAGTTTATCTTTTCCTTTAAGTGGGTCAACCCACCCTCTCTTGACTTGTTTTGTTTTGAGTCACGGATTCAAATGACAGATAAAAATCTAATTTGCTCAGAGACAACGTGTGCCAAACTCATTAGTCGTTATAAAGCATCTAACTTATATTAAACCCATAAAACAAAATTTGTTTTAATAGTTAAGCAGGAGGACTCTATGCCTTTATTATTTTGAGTTCAGATCTCAGGCCAAACCAACCCTTGATTTTTTATTTTTAGGGTTGTTTAGGACTTACTATTAGTGTTAGGGCAAATCAGTATCGGTAATGAATTCATGTATGGTAATAAAATTAATCTCAAAATAGGGAGGGAGTGAATTCTCTCATATCTAATTTAATATGATCATAAGATTTTTTTATTTTTCTTAAAATATTATGACAAATTCAAAACATTTGATTTTCCATTCAGAGTTTGTAGAAAAAATTTAAATAAAAAAGTGGAGTATTAGTAAATTGTTTTTGGAAAATAGTTCTCTGAAAATTGTTTGCTACTATACACACAATTATAAAGTGATTCTTATCTTAATTTTTTTTGTCTATTACATTTTTGTGATCCTACTCATATTAATATACATTAGGATAAGAAAATTTTCTCCCGTTGAATGGAGAAAATTAATCCCTTGCTTTATTTTTTACACTGAAAAATGTCGTCATGAACAGTAGTTTAAAATAGAAAGGAAGAATAGATCGGAAAACAAAGGATAGAGCCGAAAAAAGAAGACAAACGCAAATATTTTTGTTCACGAAATAGAAGCTGAGCTCCATTGGACAATTGCTCTCTCTCTCTCTCTGGAAAAGCTTCTACATGGCAAGATCACATGCTTTACCCTAGGGTTTCTGTTTCCACGCTCTGTTCATCATTCACTAGTGAGTGTTCTCTCAACCTTACTATGCTTATTCCCCTCCATATCTTATCTAGGGTTTACTATGTCTCCATCAATTTCAATTTTGAGCGTTGTTTTGAAACCCTGTTTGTTTTGTTTTTCATTGGTTTTTGTGCATGTTTTCTGGAGTTTGAATATGATGGGTATTCTTGCATATTTCTTTTTGATACGTAAGGATTCGTAGTGTCACCAATGTTGTTTATGCCGAAAACGACCAACTATCCTAGGTAGCGACTCAAGATTTTCCCCTTTGCCAATACTAAAAGGGAATTTTGGTTTCAGCATGGGGCTGTGGTTTTTTGATCATGATATTTTTTTGCCCCTTTTTTAGCCTTGCCTTGACTATAGTGTGAAATCACTTTTTTAAACTAGAATTGCCCAAAAATTATTTAACTGATATTGATGGAAGGAAAATTAGATGGTCGGTCATTCCTACTTGTTGACCGTACCATTACATCTTTAGGCTCTTTTTTGTTTCTGTTTTGTTTTGTTTTTTCTTTAAATCCAAAAGCACAAGTTCATTCTTTAGGCTTTCATCCATAGAACTAACTGGATTACCAAGACATTAGGTAGTTCCGTAGCTGGGTTAGCAGTCCTCTACGTGCTTTAGTTCTATGTGTCTCAGTAAGAGTACATTATTCAATGTGCTAATATTAGATACAATTTTTCTGCAGTAATTTCATGTGATCAATGCATGGAGGTGTTAGCAAGTTCAATCAAAGTAGCTGGTGTAAATATGTTTCCAGTGGCATTTGATCCCTCCACAAGAGCAATATTGGATATTTAAAGCCTAAATCAATTCAATATTGGATAGTTTTTGAGTGGAGAAATTTTCAATATATTCTGAGATAGCAGAATAAACCACTGGCTAGTTCAAGGATGGGAGAGGATGTGTCACCTTATGTGTTAAGTTTCAGCAGATACACTAGTGTCCAATGTGCTTCACGAACAAGCATTGAAGAAAATCAATGCAATATAACTTGTAGCCTTGATTTACTTTTTAAGAGGGCTATTATTTAGTGTTTGGAGACCTTATGAGATGCTTTGAATCCTGCAAGTGTTGTAAATATGTTCTGCAAGTTCCAGGACAGATAGATTTTTCATGGTTTTTGGAGAATATGCATAGGCTATGGAGTGTTGCCACCACAAGAGGAGGAGAACAAGAATTCGTAAATATGCTAGAACAGGAGGTACCAATGAAAACTGCATTTAGATATTTGCGGTCAATGTCAATCTTGCAAAAAGGAGGAGAGATTGATGAGGATGTAAGCCAATTATTAGAAACAGTTGGATAAAATGACAGTGTGTTGGAATTTTTATGTGATCGTAAAATCCCTCTTAGGTTAAAAGGAAAATTTTATAGGTCAATAGTAAGGCCTTCAATGCTATATGAAGCTGAATGTTGGCCGACAAAGAAATAACATGAGCAGCAAATGAGAGTAGTGAAAATGAGGATGTTAAGATACATGTGTGGGTATATGAGGATGGATAAAATAAGAAATGAAGATATTCGGAGATGAGGATGTTAAGGTATATGTGCGGTCATAAGAGGATGGATAAAATAAGAAATGAAGATATTTGACGAAAAATTAGAGTAATTTCTATGGAAGAAAATGAGAGAACATAGATTGAAATGATTTGGGCATGATCTTTGAAGTCCCTGTGCTTCGCTAAGAAAAGAATCCCAATAAAACCAGGTAAAATTATCCTCTACTTAGGACTTGATATGACCTTATAAGATATTCATTCAACCTCAACTCTCGTCTATCACACCCTTAAGCATCCGTATTACCGTGGTCGCTACTTTTTGACTTTGACCACCAACATCATTGCTATTAGGGGTGACAAATTTCAACAAGAACCGAACATTACACGAATTTCTCATGTTTGTGTCAACCGTATTCGTGTTCGTGTCAACCAAAAGTTACCCCCAAAAAATTGTGTTAGGGGTATTCGTGTTTGTGTCTACCTGTTTAAATTAAATAATTATATAATTACATATTTACCCCCACATATCCCATTTTTATCTATTCATCTGAGGTTATTTAAATAATTTTCATTCAAAAAGTAAAATGGATGGGTTATTTTTGTCGTGTCAACCCGTTGAGTATAGGGCTGTGTTGTAAATATTAGGTCTTTATTATTATTAGTATTTGTTGTATTGGGCCAAGCCCATCAGGTCAAGAATTAGGTTTTTTAGTCTCTATAAAAGAGACATCTTTGTATCAGATTAATACACAATTCAATAATATTTCAAATACCCTTTTCTTTCAAGTTGGTATCAGAGCTCTCGATCCTGAGGGCTCTGCTTCCGCGCCTACGAAACTTTGTTTAGTCTTTTTTTCGTCTCTCGCTGCCATTAGCCGCCATCGGAAAAAAAATTTCCAGGGACCTCTTGGATCGAGAAGATCACTTTTTCTCTTCTTTTTCCTCTTCACACAACATAAGGTCAGTGTTTGTGTGGCAAAACAAACGTTCTTCACACTGTTCATCGCTGGTCATCACGTTTCAAGACTAACAACACTGTTCATCTTGATTTTTGGACGTTTTCCGGCGACCGTTCAACTCCGATCAGCCCCAGATAGGTTCGCAACCCTTGGACGACCTTCGCCTGAAAAGCCAAGCCCGATTGGACTTCAGACGCGCCTCCACGCGCCGCTCCTTTCCCTGCGCGTGAAGCCCACGCGCCGCCAGCTTCACCGGCGCGTGACGGCGCGTGACGACGGTTCTGGAGGTCGGGCCACTGCAGTTCTGATCGACTCTCCCAGCTTCTTGGAGCTTTTTCGTTGACTGTTTTAGTGCAGTATGGCCTCTTCTCAAAGGATTTCCTTTACAAAGTTTTATGGTGGTGCATCTTCTAGACCTAAGAGAGATGATCGATGGTGTTCTTATTGTAAAAGAACAGGTCATATCAAGGATTTATGCTTTCGCCTCCATGGAAAGCAAACTGTCTTAGAAAAGATGGCATTGATGCGTGGTCAAACGCATTTTACTTCCTCTGAAATAACCCCTGCACCTAATGAGACCCAACCTGCATTTCGTCTAGATGAATTGGAACGGCTCCGAACCATCCTTGATTATCTGAGTAAGCCATCTGATACTAGTGCTTTGGCTATGACTGGTATGAGCTCCAAAACTCATTCTTTTCTTTCTTCATGTAATGATTTTAAACATTCTTGGGTTGTTGATTCTGGTGCTACTGATCATATGGATTGTTGTGCTGATTCCTTTACTTCTTATCATCTTACCATTGGAACCCATACAATAGCCATAGCTGATGGCTCACATACATCAGTTGCGGGTTCTGGTGACATAAACTTACAACAGTCCTTACATCTTAAAGATGCTCTTCATGTTCTTAAACTCTCCACGAATCTTCTTTCTATTCATAAAATTACAAAAGATTTGAATTGTACTGTAACCTTCTTCCCTACCCATTGTATTTTTCAGGATCTCGCCACAGGGAAGACGATTTGTAGTCCTAAAGAGCAAGGTGGGCTGTACTATCTGGTGTCACAATCTCCCGCAAATAAAGTAACAGATCACATCTTCATGTCTCATGGTCAATCAACTGCTGATTCTTTTGATTTGGCTTCATCATAAGCGTTTGGGACATCCTCCTTTTAGTTTACTCAAGTCTTTATTTCCATCATTGTTTTTGTCTAAGTCTGTTGAGTCTTTTCATTGTGATGTTTGTGAGTTTGCTAAGCATCGTCGTGTGTCTTTTTCTTCTAGTAGTTCTAAGAGTGTTGAACCTTTTGATCTTATTCATTCTGATGTTTGGGGTCCTTCTAAAGTCCATCATGCTTCTGGAAATAGATGGTTTGTTTCTTTTATTGATGATTGCACTCGTGTAACTTGGGTTTACTTAATGCGTGAAAAGTCTGAGGTACCACATCTGTTCTTTCAATTTTATAAAATGGTTGAGACCCAATTTGGTAAAAAAATCAAGAGACTAAGAACAGATAATGGTACTGAATATGTTAATCACAGTTTTTTTCCAATTTATACGAAATAACGGTATGATTCATGAACTTACTTGTGTTGACACCCCTCAACAGAATGGGGTTGCTGAAAGAAAAAATCGTCACCTTCTTGAAGTGGCTCGTGCATTAATGTTTCAGACACAAGTACCCAAATACTATTGGGGAGATGCTATTCTTACTGTAGCATTCTTGATCAACCGTTTACCCACTCGGGTACTTGACCATGTAAGTCCTATTCACTCTATAACTTCTTTTTTCCTTTCTATTCCAACTATGAGTCTTCCTCCACGAGTGTTTGGGTGTGTTGCTTTTGTTCATGTTCATAAACATCATCGCAGTAAGTTGGACCCTAGGGCTATTAAATGTGTTTTTCTTGGTTATGTTCCCGATAAGAAGGGCTACAACCCTGGTAGTAGGAAATTTTCTGTTTCTATGGATGTTACATTTCAGGAATCTGAGTCCTTTTTCCAAGGTCCTCATCTTCAGGGGGAGAATCCTTCACCAGAAAGCTCATCACCTCCCTTCTTTGAGTCTTCAGTGTCTACTCCTTTGCCTGTGTCAGTGTATCCTCCTCTTGTCCCTATTGTTCCTGTTCCTTCTGTGTCTGATCCTCCTGTGACTGATCCTCCTGTGACTGATCCTCCTGTGACTGATACATCAAGTTCACCAGAGATACGGAAGATTATGACACCTGAGTTGGTATATCAAAGAAGGAAACAGCCCACATTGCCTCAACAGCAACCTCAATCGTCTGAACCTCTGGTAAGTCCTGAATCTCGTAATTCTGATCATGATGTTAATACTTCTGATGACTTACCCATTACTACTGATTCTGCTGATTTACCCATTGCTCTTAGAAAAGGAAAAAGATCTTGTCCCAAGAAATCTTGTTCCTCCTGTCCCTCTTGTACTCAATACCCTATCTCCCATTTTGTTTCTTCTGCTAATCTTTCTGTGCAGCACAAAAGCTTTGTTTCAGCACTACACTCTATTGCAATCCCAAAATCAGTACATGAAGCCTTGAAAGATGGGAATTGGGCTCAAGCCATGCAAGAGGAGATGAATGCGTTGGAAAAAAATAAAACATGGGAGGTTATTGATAGACCTAATGGAAAGAAAGCAATAGGGTGCAGATGGGTTTATGCCCTGAAATATAATTCTGATGGAACTCTTGAGAAATACAGAGCTCGATTAGTTGCCAAAGGTTACACTCAAACCTATGACATTGATTATGAAGAAACATTTGCTCCAGTTGCAAAGATGAATATGGTGAGAGTCTTGTTGTCCCTTGCTGCCCATTACGATTGGAATATTAATCAATTTGATGTGAAAAATGCTTTCTTCAATGGTGAGTTAGAAGAAGAAGTCTACATGAAAATCCCGCCTGGTTTTGATTCTGTGAAAGGAGAAAACACATGCAGGTAGTAGAGAGAATTCTTCAGTATCCTAAAGCTACTCTTGGTAAAGGATTGTTATTCCGACGTGATGGCAATCTCTCTTTAGAAGTCTACACTGATACTGATTATGCTGGATCCGTGACTGATCGTCGATCTACCACTGGTTTTTGCATGTTTCTTTGCGGTAACTTAGTGACATGGAGAAGTAAGAAACAAGATGTGGTTGCCAGGTCAAGTGCAGAAGCTGAATTTCGAGCTATGGCTCAAGGCATTTGTGAGTTACTATGGCTGAAAATTATACTTGATGATCTCAAAATAAAATGTGAGGGACCTATGAAGCTGCTATGTGACAATAAGTTCGCTATTTGTATAGCTCATAATTCGGTTCAACATGATCGGACTAAACATATTGAGGTCGACCGCCATTTCATCAAAGAGAAACTTGATAGCGGGTTGATTACCACTCCATACATTCCCACTGGGCGTCAATTAGCTGATCTATTGACAAAGGGACTTCCTTCAGACAGATTTCAAGAATTTACTAGCAAGCTGGGAATGATAAATATTTATTCCTCAGCTTGAGGGGGAGTGTTGTAAATATTAGGTCTTTATTATTATTAGTATTTGTTGTATTGGGCCAAGCCCATTAGGTCAAGAATTAGGTTTTTTAGTCTCTATAAATAGAGACCTCTTTGTATCAGATTAATACACAATTCAATAATATTTCAAATACCCTTTTCTTTCAAGTGGTTGTGTTAGTGTCAAAGGTTTGGACACGAATAGCTATTCATGTTGATCCAAACAAGGCCCCCAACTCGATTTGCCACCTCTAATTGCTCTTTAAATTTTATCTTCATGTTAATTTGGTCTCATCTGGGAATGTGTACATCCCCAAATTCCTCAACTGGCAGTTGGTAGTGGTAGCATTCTTCTTCAAAAGTTTCTTCATCTGTTTAGATGAGGTTTCATCTGCTTGAGTAGATAAAGAAAGATATGGTGGAATGGGACGGCTATATAAAGCTATACTATGGGATGCATTATAAGAGATCATGTGTAGCTGCTTTTTTTTATTATGAAGGCTAGCAGCCTTTTATGGAAGGAGGATTTCTTCCTGCTCAATGAAACAAGGTTCCCCCATCTCAATATTTTTCTAAGTAACAGGGTTGTTTTATTATAATAAATATTTTTGTATACTTTTTTTTACGTAATAATGACCAAATACTTGTATAAGCTCTTTTAAGCTATTGGTCCTTATTGCCTTATATTGTCAGCCCTCATCTTATTATTCGTATTGGTGGTCGTGTTCGTATTATTTGCACTGTCCTTCTTATTGTCAAATCCTGTCATGGAGCTACTGCAGGAATCTTTCTCTTTCTCTCTCTCTCTCTCTCTCTCTCTCTCTCTCTCTCTCTCTGTCTCTGTCTTTCTCTCTCTTTGGGTGCATCTATAGGAAACTGTTTTGAGTCAGTAAATTTGCTCTGTTTATGGTTCTGGCTATCACCCTTGCTTTGAATAAAGGAATACAAATATTTATGACCTATCCACATTTGTAATTTTTGAAAGCAAAATTTAAGGGCGTAAACAAAACTAGTAAAACCCATCCTCATTTTAACATAAAATCTATACTTGGTTCTGTAATAATTACCAAATGTTTGGACTGTTGCCATTACATTTACATAAAAAAAACACTTACTGTGCCTCTATATTAAGGCAATATGTATTGATTTATTATCCTCTAAAAAAATTTGTATATTGATCTTCGCCCCTTAATTTTCATATCTACCAAGCACATTCTACTGTATGGTCTAAAAATCTGCTATACTTTTGTATTTTCTGCTGGTAGAAAATCCTGTTGGCTGTTCCTTAGGTTCATTCATCCAACCTGTTTGTTGTCCTTTAGGAGGCCTTGGCCCAATGCATAACACACAATGCCTAATTCCTTAAAAAGTAATGTTGGTGTCTAGAACCTTTGTGGGGGAGGAGATAGAAAGAAAACATTAAAGCAACCTAAGGCAAATTTCCTAGTCTGAGTCATATCAATTGGATTTGATTGTATTATAGACTGGAATATGCATCAATTAAGAACTATTCACTGTTCCTCCCAGTCAATTAAATCCATATGAAATACTAGAATTTTCAGCCAGCAGTTTCTAGTGTCTACATGTAGAGTTTTTTTGAAGAAGCTAGTTTTCTCGCTTGATTTTGTGCATATGTTGTTTCTTTTGATTGATGCTTCTTATGTCTCCTGTTCCCTTGTTTTTGCTGTTTGGAGAACTCTGGATCCTCCTGTTCTATATTCTTATTCCCTATTAATTAATTTATTTGCATTGAAAAATGGTCAATTATATGTGTGTTGAGTGATTGATGTGAACTTTGATTAGGTTCAATTCTTGAACTTTGGTGGAACTACCTGCATTTTTTTTTTTTTATTTTGGGTCTAGGACTTGGATGGGGCCTAAGGGAATCCCACAAGGGAGTTGGGAGTGCATCAATCCCCTCCCACTGAGGAAATAGGTACATCCTATTCCCTGTCAACTGAGCTAAAGCTCACTAGCTTGATACTTTGTTTGAAATACAAGTTAAGTCTCTCATTTATTTTATAATTTCTGCTGATTCTGTTTCCTGGCAAGTTATAGTTGTTTAGTGAAGAAAACTTAGAAGAGCTAGGATAGATTTCAGGTTTCTGGTGATTTATTTTATTGTTGTTGATTCAGAGCACACTGCATTGTTCAAAGAGAAGCATTACGGCTTTGGCAAGTGAGATGAGTGGAAGTGGCAGAAAGCGCTCTTCAAAGTGGGATTTGAGAGATGAGCCTGAATATGCACCTGATAGTAATGCACCTGATAGTAAGCAATTGCGATCTCGATGGTCCTCTGCAGATGTTGCTGGTAGCAATAGTTCGAAGTGGTCTTATTTGGAAGGAAATGATAAATTAAAACCTGGTATGGGATTTTCTCCTAAGGAACCTTTTTCTGGAGGCAGAGGTTCAAATAAGGATGATATTATGAACAAAGACTATAGAGTTCTGGATGCAACATTGGAATGGGACGAGGATGGAAGTTATGACAGGAAAATGTCACCGGGGTTTGAGGAATGGAAACATAACAGACATAGTCAATCCCCCCAAAATGGTTGGAGTAGGTCAGTCAGGTTTGTTTCTCTACTCAGTGTGTCTGTACTGATCCCATTTTCTGAATATTGATGGAAGCTTTATACCTTAAGTGCTTAACTGATGGATTGTTGGGGTAGCATGACTGTAAATAAACTTGATTGTGTATTATTATGATATATTAATGTTCAAAAAGTCCTAAAATACACACTTCTCTTATCCTCTGATGCATTTTCCCTTCAATGGGGAGCTATGTGCACTCAGGAGAATGCTGACACCTCGGAGCCTTCAGAAGTATTATTGGGATCTGAAAAAATAATTCACTACTTTTAGATACTTTCTTTATCCTTCCAAAGACATTTTAAACATATATTAGATATTTTGTACATATACTTTTATGTTTGGTATACACACTCACTGATGCTTGAAATCATGAACACTGGAAACTGCATGTTTGATGCAGTTTTAGATGATGCAGTCCTATATTAAAATTTTTAGCTTCCAGGGTGAAGCTCAGAAGGTGCTGTTTTAAGGTTATTTAGAAGTGCTTTCATACCAAAATCATTTCTGGTCTTTTTCTTATTGAGATGTATCTGTGCCATGTTTATGTCCCTTGCTTTCTAGATGCAGTTGGTTTTGTTAATTATCTTCCTTTTTTTTGGATTATGTCATTCCTAGGAGTAGTCGGAGCCAGAGCCCTCCCCATGGACTTAGGTTTGATGCAGGAGTCAATGACAGAAATAGAATGAGGTCTGGAGGATCGACACTTCCATGTAGAGATTTTGCTGCTGGTAAATGCAGAAGAGGCAGCCAATGCCATTTTCTTCATCATGATAATCGAAATCATGAGGATAGTTGGGAAAGTAAGCACAGGGAAGGTGGAGCTCCCAGATATTCTACTCCCCACGAGAGTCGGGATCTTTCTCTTAAGAGTGGTAGATCTAGTGAGGCTTGTATTGATTTTGCAAAAGGCAGGTGTAGAATGGGAGCATCGTGCAAGTATGTGCATCATAACAATTCTGATGGATATGGCAAAATATCTGTGGATGAATTTACTAGAGAAAGGGAAATTGATAGAAGGCGCAGAGATAGTTCTTTTGAGCAGGGTGGTGGGCATTGGCCAAAACGCAGTGGTGATACTCCTTGCAAATTTTTTGCTTATGGAAATTGTCGTAACGGTAAAAATTGTAGGTTTTCTCATGATAGGCAAGCATCTAGGAGCCCTAATAGAAGAGTAAGGGATGTTAGGTTGGCGAGCAACCCAGTTGGAGATCATCAGATGTTGGATAGATCAAATTTGAGCAATTCAGTTAGTCCCAATCGAAGGCTAAGAGATGATAGATGGGGTTTAGATGGCAATATGGTTGATGCAGATAAAGTTTGCGACAGTCCAAAGCGGAATGACACAGTTGCTGTCTCTGATACAGCAAAGCTGGTTGAGGACAAAAGTGGAAGTATGGGTGCCACAGAGCCAGGATTCACTGCCTGGCCTGTGAAGGATGGATGGGGTTGTAGTTTAGATAAGAGCAGAGTGCACGGTGAACCACCATTTTTGAGTGATAAGAAGGAAGCTGACTGTTGGATAGCAGAAAATACTGGTGCCAAGATGCATGGTTCCCAGTCAATAGGTACAGACATTTGGTCAGGTGATGCTAAAATGTCTCCTGATTGGAATTATAGGGTGGGATCCTCCAACCATATTGAAGAAGAGCATGGACAGAATAAGCATGGGATAACCCAGGGTGCTACTTATTTAGCTGCCTCCGAACATGACAGAATACAAGTCCTTCCAGGTAATCATGTTCTTGATGTTTTACATCCCTTGTAAATTGAAAAATAGTTTGCCCTGCTAGTGCAAACCCAAAATTTTAAAAAGTATGATCTCATTTCATTGACGTGTGATGACAAGTGTGACAAACAAATCTGTTGATTCACACATAGACCTAAACTTTTCTACTGTTGTTCTTCCAGGACAAGGATTTAATCAGAATGCACAGATTGCAAATCCTTTGCATTCTTCACTTGCAGTTGGACAGAGTCAAATGGCAGTTCCCATTCTTCCTTCAAGAGGAGGAATTGTTGATGGTATGCAGAACCAAGAAGTGTCTACTGAGAAAAAGTACACCGTTGAACCAAATATTATGGATGCAGGCATATCACAAGTTAGTTCAAGAAATCCTCCAATTCAGAATGTGGTAAACAAAGAACAGCTTGCTCAACTTACTGATCTCTCAGCCTCTCTGGCTCATATCCTCGGAGCAGGTCAGCAGCTGCCACAACTTTATGCTGCTTTAAATTCTCATGATGCAAAGGACACTCCTTCCCTAGCAAAAACTGAAGTGCCTGCTATGCCTGTTTACAATACAATTGTCAAGCCAGATCCTGCTGTTGGATTCTCGAAGCAGTATGATCCAATGTGTGATGGTATGGAACCAAATATTGCTGATGCAAATGGGGTTCCCCCAGGCATTCCTCCAAGTAAAAAAATTGCAGAAGATGAAGTAGAAATTTCATCACGGTTGTCTAACACTGGGAGACAAATTTGTGGTGATTCTATTAAGGCTTCATACTCAGAGGAACTTGTCAAGAATGTTCATCCAATCCAGTTGCTGCCAGGTCAAAACACTGAGGTTACTAAGGATAACAAGGAAGTGGTAGCTGAGGAAAGGCAAAATTCTCAAGAATATCATAAAAATACAAAAGAGAATGGTCCTTTGGAAAACATGGAGCAAAATGGTGAACCTGATGAGGCCAAGAAAACAAAGGATATGAAGGGGGTTCGTACATTTAAATTTGCTTTGGTAGAGTTTGTTAAGGAGCTTCTGAAACCAACATGGAAAGAAGGTCAAATCACCAAAGAAGATTATAAAACAATTGTGAAGAAAGTTGTTGATAAAGTAACTGGTACCATGCAGGGTGCCCATATTCCTCAGACACAAGAGAAAATCGACCACTATTTGTCATTTTCAAAACCAAAGCTTAACAAACTTGTACAGGTCAGTGGTGGTTAACTTACACATTGCCGTTATATTTTCACCTCCATTTTACTTTTATAGATGAAAGTAAATTCAGATGAAGCTCTGGAAACCATTAATTTTCTAAAGGCTTATTTTGGAAGTTGAAAGAGTTGATGGAAAGTTGCCCAAAAATATGGGATTGAGTAAATATACAATTTGATCCTTGAAAGTTGTCAAGTGTGTTCCGTTGGTCTCCAAAAGTTTCCGCCTATACAAATTAGATTCCGACGTTAACTTGCTAAAAAGTTCACCTTATCGAAATTATTAACTTGTTAACTAGTTCATTGCTTTGGAGACAAATTTGTATAAACGGAATTTTTTTAGGACCAAAGCAACACAAGTAACAATTTTCAAGGACCTAATTGTATGTTTACACTTATGGGATTAATTTTGAGCAGAGTTATATATGCTCACCTAAAATTTTATATATGTAGCTAAATTTCATCATTAAAGGTACTGTCTAAAAGAAATCAACTTAAATTAGTCATGGTAACTTTTTTTTAAACTGAACTATATTATTTTTCCTCTTGCTAAAAGGTTACCCAGTTTCTTAATTTGTTATTTCATAATTTAGTTATTTTGTCTATGTAACATAATCTCATGCGGCTTTATTTTCTCTATTAAGAAAGAAAAACTATTTCAAATAGACTTTACTTCTCTTCAATAAAGCTTTCCGCATCCTAATTGATCTCTATTGGATTCTGAGCTCTATGTTTGACTACAATTGTTGTTGAAGGTGTAGCCATCCTATTTCTTATGTCGAAGTTGTTCTATTTTGCTAGTATGTTACTTCTGGCTTTCCAGCTTGTCCTATAATTGTTCTCCTTTTGCTTGCAGGCATATGTGGAAAAGGTTCAGAAGGCTTAGTGGAATTATAGAAATTTGGCTACCAAATCTATCTTTTGTATTCTGCGTGGCGTCATTGTCTTCAATGTGTACTATGCTTACTTATCTCTGAATTTTTTGTGTTTAATTGTCTTGGCCCTTTGTGTGTGTACTTCAGTTGCTGTAGAATCCAGTAGCCTTTGCAGCTCCTGTGCATACAATTTCGGAGCATTTATTTGTTTTTTCTTCGTTTCTTTGGAGAAAAATTATTGGGTCTTAGAATGTCATTGACAACAGTTTGCAACTCCATTGTTAGACAGTTGTTATGTGGGATTCATTTTATATTACCAGCAAGGTTAATTCATAGGTCTAAAAAAAATTTCCTGGCAGTTTGTGTAGTCCTCAACGATTTGCCTGGAGATAAATATGCTTTGAGCAAATTTATTTTGTTTCAAAAGATGTTCAATGATCATCTCCAAGAAAATAAATCAATAAAAGGTGGATGATAAGAGTTTTTGGCTTTGTGTATTCTTCCTTTCGGTAATTACTTATCTTTCCCCATTTGATTGGAGGTACATAAAACAAGTCTTATTTATACGAATTTATTGCATGCTGTAGGATCATATGAATTTAATGCGAATTGAATTATATAAATTTTTTCAATGAAACCAATATAAATTAAAAAAAAATTGAGTAATTAAGAATAGTGTAAATAAATAAGTCAAGTCTTCAAAAAGAACAAGGAGAAATAAGTCAAGTAAATACGTGGGAAAAATTTGAAGGAAAAATAATTCCAGAGAGTTGGTATACCCTATGATGCACGGACACGGGACACGACACGATACGCTGACACGTTAATTCTAAAATTATCATATTTTGATACGTTGGGACACGTTTTGATATTAAATAAATTTTTTAATATATATAATATAATTTATATTTAATACTTATAAGAGTCCATAATAAGTCATATAACCAATCAAATATTTCAATTTTGTAACATAAATATAAATATAAATAATTTTTCATACTTTGTTAATTTTTCATGTCAAATTTCATAAGAGAAAAAAATTAATTTACAAATTAATTCTTTTATATTTAGTTAACAAAATAAAATAAAGATTTAAAAAAAAAAAAAAACGTGTCCGCAAGTGTCCCAGCGTGTTCCAACATTGACCGCGTGCCGGAAAAAGTTAACTGCATGTCGAAAAAATGTATCAGAACGTGTCAGAGAGTTGACCATGTGTCTCCAAATATTGACCGCGTGTTGGACGCGTGTCGGAGCGTGTCCGTGTTGGACATGTGTCCGACACGCAAATTTTTTTAAAAGGAACGTGTCCGTGCTTTGGAGATTATACCTATTCAATTAAGAATTAAATTTATTATAATGAGTCAATGTTTAATTCAAAGAACAAGAATAGAATATATTTAATCCATATATAAACATTGTCCAATATATAGACACATAGCGATTAAATTGTCTCCCTATGTTTTCTATAAATAGATAGACAATCATAATTTTAAAAGTGAATTTTTTCTTTACATTTGCATTTTATTACTCTAGTGCGATTGGTCAGGCATAGCTTGAGTTTGATGGAGCTATTCTATGTGGAAGTGCCGCCATAAGAATAGAGGTAATCTGTTTTATTTTGAGAGACAATTGTCCCTGAATCTTGAGCACCATAGAGAGTGCAATATTGTTTTAAGGACATATTATCTAACACTGAGCTCGGATTTTTCTTTGTTGCATTCACATATTTTTATATAGTATACTTTAACTATGTGTTATTGCATATTTCAATTTCTTAGGTGCATTTCTTGAAATTGTGAATATTGTAAAAATGATTCTCTAATACGGATTAACTCTCTCAATGATTTTGACACCACTTTCCTAACAATCTTTGTTTGGACCTTGAATGCATAAGTGATATTGTGTTTCGTTTTCATTTTTGTAATTGAGATTGTCCAATTACTATTATCGTATTCTGATATTGGTTTTGAGATATATAATATCACATGGATAATCGTGTCTTCACATAATTTTTATTACTTATTCGTGATTCTGCCTAAATTTGGTGTTTTGTACATTTGTACTGCTTGTTATGTTTCAGTTTGTGTGTGTTTTTTTAATCTTTGATTTTCAAAGAAAAAATAAAATAAATGAAATTCACTGTGACTACTTTTGTGCAGTTACTTGTGTAGGTTATAGGCTTTTTTTTTTTTTTTTTTTTCCTGCTTTCATTTAATTTGAAGTCACATTGCTTTAAATCAAATTAGCAATGTGTCGAAGGTTTGTATATTTAATTCCATTTTTTTATTTCAAAAAATAGAGATTTTATCTGATTCTTGAAAATTAGAATTTTGAAATTGCAATAATATAATTAATTATTGGCAATTTCATTTAGAGTGTATAACTATCATACTTTTTGGTATCAATCATTAGATTGATGTTAGGTTCTAAGAACTTAAGGAAGACAGAACAGAACAGAAAAGGAGGAAAGAACAGAGAAATTGTATCGAATTTTTATTGAATGCCTTCCAATATGATATTACACAGTATTATATACCATTCTCAACTAACTCACTTGCCACCTATCTACCCACGTGTAAACTAACTAACTCACCACCTAATGAATACATGCACACTATACACGTGTGAACCAACCGTTTAACCACTTATTAACTAAATGCAACTAATATTGATACAATCATATGACTTCTTCAAGCAACAAAGTCAGTTAATCTAGATGAGTGCTTTTTGTCCCTACTCGATCTTCTTAGCGTAACATTTCCCTCTCCTTCAACAATGACCTTGTCCTCAAGGTCGAGAGATGGGTAACAGTGACACAATTCTTGCTCTTTCTCCCATGAAGCATCTTCAGGAACTGTGTTAGACCATTGAACCAAAAACTCACGCATTTGTTGTCCCTGGCAAGAAGAATGACACATGCCTAGGATGGCTACTGGAATCTGTACGAGTCTGTTATCAACAACTGAAGGTGGCAGTGGATTCAATACAATTGGCATAGAGCCTATACAAGGTTTCAGCTGTGAAACATGAAACACTGGGTGAATTTGACTCCCTGGAGGCAGCTTCAACTCATATGCAGTAGTCCCCAACCTTCGAAGAACTTCAAAGGGACCAAAAAAATTGTTTAGCAAGTTTGTGATTGACTCTTCTTTCAACTGTTACTTGTCTATATGGTTGTAAACGGACCCAAACTTTATCTCCCACATTGAATGAACGCTCTTTGTGATGTTTATCAAATTGAACCTTCATACGGTTCTGAGCCCTCTGTAAATAGACCTTAAGTTGAGTCAAGACTTCATTTCTTTGCTGCAACATTGTATCAATAGCTTCCAATTTAATCAGTCCTCTCGGATAAAAAGGTATCATGATTGGAGGCTTCCCAAAGACTGCCTGATAAGGAGACATGCCAATAGCTGAGTGAATGGCTGAATTGTAGTGGTATTGTGCCCAACACAAAAAATTGCACCAAGAATGTGGTTGTTCATAACAAAAGGAACGTAAATACTATTCAAGGTATCTGTTGGTCACTTCCGTTTAACCATCAGATTGTGGATGGTACGAAGAAGTAGTCCTTAAAGTAGTACCACTTAACTTGAATAGATGGCTCCAAAACTTGCTTAAGAAGATACGATCTCTGTCTGTCAATATTGATCGAGGAAAACCATGAACTCGTACTACCAATTCACAAAATAAAGTTGCAACTGTAAATGCTGTATAAGAATTTGGTAAGGGACCAAAATAAGCAAATTTAGACAATCTGTCTACAAAAACTAAGACAATTGTGAATCCTTTCGATGGAGGTAATCCTGATATAAAATCCATGGAAAGCTCCTCAAAAATACCTTCCGAAATTGGAAGTGGTTGCAACAACCCTGCAACTTTAGATGTTTGGAAGCACCAATGTTAGGTTCTAAGAACCTAAGGAAGACAGAACAGAACAGAAAAGAAGGAAAGAATAGAGAAATTGTATCGAATATTTATTGAATGCCTTCCAATCTGATATTACACAATATTATATACCATTCTCAACTAACTCACTTGCCACCTATCTACCCACGTGTAAACTAACTAACTCACCACCTAATGAATACATGCACACTACACACGTGTGAACCAACCGTTTAACCACTTATTAACTACATGCAACTAATATTTATACAATCATATGACTTCTTCAAGCAACAAAGTCAGTTAATCTAGATGAGTGCTTTTTGTCCCTACTCGATCTTCTTAGCGTAACAATTGATTTGTTGGGTTTAATTTTGTGTAAATTAAACCAAATTTGATTTTTGCTTGTATAATAACCCTCACTAGTAGATGTGGATTTAATATTGAAGAATAATTAGAAGTAAAAGAAATAAAGTCACCTTTGGTAAAAAGGATTTAAAATGGCAGTTAAGTGGTAAGAATGCAGGTAAATAAAGTTATCCAAAAAGTGAAAGTAAAGATAGAAACATGACTGGAAAAATATTCTATTCTATTGGGTGAAGTTTGGTAATGAATGGAGGTAAAGATACCAGGCGACCAAGTGAAAGTGAACAGCCTTAAGTGACTAAGGGAATCACTATTCACCCTTTTAAATCGCGTCTTCCACGGGCATAAGCGACAAAGAGACAGAGGAAAGAAAATGAAAATGGAGGTTTTGAATAAAAATCTTCCTAAATTCATAACTTGAGCTAGAGACCTCCAAATCACTCCGTTCCAAAGTCAAACTTGTGAGAAATTTCGAGATGAATCCATTGGTACTAGTATTTCTGGGTGGGGTTCACTGTAGAGAGAGAACTTCTTCCTCTAAGATTTCGGATTTCTTGGAAAATAGGGATTTTGATGGAGCTTGAAGCCATGGAAGCTTGAAGTAAGCTTTCCCCTTCGTTCTAGGTAAGTTTATATTGAGAAATCCTAATTTTCTTTGAGTTTTGAGGAAGATTTGATTTAGTTTTCCATTTTGAACGTTTGGTTTGATTGAGCATGTTAGAGTTTGATTGGGGCTTGGCTCATATTGAGAAAAGTGTTCAGATGATGATTTTAACGGTGGAAATATATTTGAAAAATTTAAGATACCTTATTTTTGAATAGTGTCGTATACGTGAATAGTGAATAATAACGTATACGTGAATAGTACTGTATTGATGAACAGTGCCGTATGTATACATTGATGTTGTATACTAATGGAAATGTGTTCCTTGGTTATAGTGTGATACCAAGTGGACTTGTGGAGCAAGAGCATAGGCATTGAGCAAGGCTCTTGATTAATTGAGATTGAGGTAAGTATCAAACAATGGTTTGATGTGAAATTTATATGAAATGCATATATGTTTAATTATGATAAATTCACCATAGATAGGTGTGTTGGTTATCTGTTGAG